ACACATGATTTTCATAACAGAAGACAGCTGATATATAACAAGCCAAGTAACACCAAAAACTCCTTGGGATTTGGCTTCCTCTGGAGGAATTCCATGATCCCTCCAGGTAGTGACTTTGCCATAACCAGCTGAGTTCTTATGATATATTCCTGCGGCCCGCAACAATGGATGACTAGAACTTCCTGGGCCTCTAGTGTGTCACAGGATCTGTGGGAGGCACAGAGGTCCTTGTCCTCACGATAAGCACTAGGGGACCAAGAATGTTAAACACACAGGGTTGTCTCTACAAAGGTATATATATATATATATATATATATATATATATATATATATATATATAATTTATTTATCACCTGTTCTCCATCCAGATGTGGTTTATAGCCTGATGACATTTGTACTATCTGTGTGGCTAAGACCATACCAGGTCCTTCCCCAGACCTTCATCATGAATTTGTTTTTCTCGGTCAATCTATAGAACCCATCTTTATGGAATATATCACATGTACTTTACAAAGACTTTCAATACAGTTGTGTCTTAAGCTTTATTGTGCACATGGGATTGAGTTAGTTATCATCTGGAAATTGTGCTGTGCTTAAATATGCCTAAAATAAGTTACCCAGTGTCAGACTCTCGAAGTTTGAACCAACACCCACTATGGAGTCGTATTGGACCTAATTTCCTGGCCTCCCCTGGATCAGCACTCTGCTGGCCCTGGTGTTTGCAGAGACCACCACAAACACCAATTTATAACAGCCAGAAGCCTGGATTCTAACCCCTCAGGCTGCTGTCTGCCAATCTGTGACCTTGGACTGTTGCTCAGCCACCCACAGCTTCCTTTCTTTGCTTCTAGAAGATGAACACAATTGTGGGGATATTACCAGTACTATGTGTGAAATGATGTGTGATGGAGATGGCGCCTAGAGCTGGCAGGCTTTAGCCTTTTCCCTCACTGTTGGGGGCAATCCTCACCCTCTTGTTGCTCCTGCAGGACATCTTAGGGCAGCCATTCAGTCATTTTGCAGCTGATGTCCCCCATCTGTCCCCTTGTCTATCTCTACAGGTGCACTGGCAATGGCCAGTGTGTGTGTGTGGGGGGGGGGTGCCCACAACAGCATGAGTCTGCTGTTACAGACCTTGGGGACCCTCGGGCATGTAGGTGTCTAGAGTCTACCCTGAATGATTGACTTTTATCATTGCTGTGACAAAATGCCTGCTAGAACAACTTAAAGGCAAGGATGAGTAATTTTTTTAATTTGTTTCTTTATGGGTATGAGTGCCTGCCTGCATGTATGTATGTGCATTATGTGCATGCAGTACCTGTGGGGGCCAAAGAGGGCACTAGATCCCCAGAACTGGAGTTAAAGTGGTTAACTTAACTACCTGATACCGATTCTAGAAATCAAACCTAGATCCTCTTGTAAGAGCAAGTGCTTTTGACTACTGGTCCATCTCTCCAGCTCCTATTGATGTGGTGCATGGCTTCAGAGGGTTCTCATGGTTTTTTAACTCTGTGTGTTTATGGTGATGGTAGCAAGAGACCAAGGATAGCTTCATGGCTAACCCAGAAACAGGGAGAAAAGATGGAGTGGAAGAAAGGGCAGATTGGGATCTAGCTGTGAGGGCACATCCCCAGTGACATATTTCTCCCACCCAGGCCCCAGCACATACTGTCACTACCATATTGAACTGTACCCATGGACTGAAACATGTATGGGGAAGCCCCCTTGATGGAATCACCTCAGGGACGTACTCAGAGGCGTGTTTACTGATGCCATAGCAGAATGAAGTCAGCTTCATCAAATTGTAATGACCCATTAAAATCTAAGTCTTGGGCCAGGGAGGAACTGGGCATTAGTCTCTGGTCTCCTCTAATGGGCAGCTTAGGCTGGAGCCTGCTGCTATGGAGACCACATTTGCATTTTCCATGGCTACTGATCTCAGTTTTCAAAGCTTGTAGCTCTGGGGGAAAAAAATCTATCCCCTTGTTGTAGACACGGAGGACATAATGCAGTATGTCTGAGGTCACTTGGGAAAGACACCCAGAAACTGGACCTTGAGCCTGAGCCCCAATGATCCTAAAACCTCTCCATCACAGTATCCAGCAGGCTTCCTGTATATCCTATACAGCTGTTCGTTACTGTGGCAAAATACCAGAGGTAGGACCAGCAAGACAGCAGTGACACATCGCTTGCTGTGATGCCTGATGATCTGAGTTCAGGTCCTAGAACTCACAGGGAGGAGGAGAAAACCAACTCTGAAAGCTCGTCCTCGGAACTCTACACATGGGCAGTGGGACATGCTGAGAGTGTGACCTCTGACCTCTACACATGGGTGGTAGGAAATGCACCCCCTAAAATTTTTTTAAGAAGCCTGAAATGATTAACTTAAACAGAGAAGATTTTCTGGCTCATGGATTCACTGCTTCCGGGCCCGCTGCGTCAGGCCTGTACACCAGGGTGGATGATAGCGTGTGTAGTGAGGGAGACCTATTTACTTCATGACATCCAGGAAACAGCAACAGACCCAAAAAGGCCGGGGTCCCAGTACCTCTTCAAAGACACATCCCCAACATCCTGACGTCCT